CCATTCTAGAACTCATTAATAATTCATGAGCTATTAGTCCAATCAGAATCCAACTATTGGGTCACATGATGGACCTTTATATCCCGATAAAKCACTGATGTTTTATTAATCAGTTCTATATCAGATATAAAGAACTGATGTTGAAGGTCATCAGCGCTTTATCGCAACCCAACACTAGCAARGGTCTCAGTTTTAATGTCGCATCATAGACCTTTGCTAGGTTTTAAATCAGTTTGAATCTATGTGCAGATATGCAGTATAGCATAGACTAGCCGTTCTTACGTGTGGGATCAAAATTCTTTCATTTGTGACAAATGCACATGCTCAGTAGAAGTTTAACATGCATAATCTCTGTTTTCGCATTTTTTAGCTTTTTTCTAAAATGATAASAATTTCTGGATGTTGGAGTTCTAGAAGTAGTATAAAAAACTCGCAGTCGTGCTTTATCGGGGATATAGACACTCGGCCTTTGGCCTCGTGTCTATATCTCCCGATAAAGCACTCCTGATCGTTTTTTAAACACTACATACTAAATAGTCTAGCTTGTATCCGATTGATAGGTATAAACATATTCATCACAAAAACAAGTTTTTTTTATTTTAATGGTCGTTTTTGTTATGGTAACTAATTAAACTAAACGTTTAATTTATTCAAACTGTTGTTTGTTAGCTATTAGTTTATAGTTTATATGTCTAAAAGTTATATTGACTATTACTCATTGCTACTAACTAGTTGGTCTATTTCTTTTCATGGTTGACGGAAAACCACTCTATGACACTGGAAAAAATCGCGCGCTTTAAAGGTTGTAAATTTGATGTATATATGATGTAAGCGTCCAAAATGATGTAAATTTGATGTAAATCGTTTCCATCAAATTTTTATCATTTTGGACAGTTACATCATATTTACATCAAATTTACAACCTTTATGGCGCGCGATTTTTTCCAGTGTGAGTTAGACATTAGATATCGTTAGTAACTTTTTAAATAGGTACGAATTAAACGCAACTTTTGTATAGTGAAAAAGATACTTCATTTTGGTAACTTTGTTTTACTAACGAAAATGTCATGATTAATTAAAAATGAACTTCAGCGTTTACGAATCTTCAGTATGACGTCATTCTTTGGCAGCATGATCACAGTCGCTTTGTGCTCGAGGTCAACTGTTTGAGCACATCTTTCAAACTTGTACTTCTTTATAATGGAAAACAGAGCGGTCTTCACCTCGT